TTTTTTAAAATAAAATAAAATAAAATAATATTATGCATAAAATATACAGTTATTATATTTAATTTTATAGAAAATACTACTATCCCAATTATTATTATAATTATTAATTACAATATCACAACTATATTATATTATAATGATAAATATAATTATAATAATTATTATTAATTACAACATCACAACTATATATTATAGTATATTATCTTATAATGATAAATATAATTATTATTAATTACAATATCACAATTATATTGTATATTATATTAATAAATATAATTACAATGTATAATACGTAATATAAGATATTATTATAATATTAAATATGCTATAATATACGTATATAATTATAATATAATATATCATATGTTATATAATTAAATTATATAAATTATTATAATATAATATTAATTATATTATAAATATTAATATTATAATATTTATAATTATAATATTTAAGGGTAATGATGACAAAGAAAATTAAATGAGCTTGGAATAGACATTCTTTTCGTATGAGGAAGGAACGATGATTTATCAATTAAATAGAAAAATCATTCCATTTTAAATGTCAATTCCTTTTCCTAAAACCAACCAAAACATAAGAATGAATTTCGATTCATTTCCATTCACCCCGGCTAAACACACCCTAACGAACTATGGATTCACATTATGACAACAGATTAAAACTGATGATCAGGATTTAATTATATTTTCAACCAAAACACCTCCAGACTCCTTTATAAGGTACAAACCCTATATTAAGGAAGTAGGGTCATAAGAAGCATTTGTTTATGGCTGGCTGAAAAACACAGCACACCAGCTTTTCCGTGTCCCACTTTTATAAAAAAGCAAAAGCAGGAATAAAATAAAGATACCCGCAAAAAAAAAAAAGGGAAAGAGACGAGAGAAATTATTTTAACTTAATACAAAGTTTCTGAACCCCACTTCTGTATAAAATTCTTATAGATCACAGAATTTAGCTTCTTCAACCTCATCTCTGAAAGAGAACAGTACTACTACTACTACTGCTACTCATCACAAAAGCTTTTGCAAAAGCTGGTTTCGGTGTGCATATACATATACACATGGAAATGAAATGTATAACAAAGTGGTGAAAAAGAGACAAAGGAAAGGAGAAAAAAGGACGGTTTTCTAAGATCCTTTTTTTTGTGGGTTCGTTCGTTTCTTGCAAAGTCATGAATAATATTATTTGAGGCGTTTTCTTTTTCTGCTTCCCTTGAGGTTATAATTAGTACTTGCTTGCTTACTATCAGTAGTGAGTGACGACAAATGATGGCTAGAAACCCTAGCTGGTGGAACATGCATCCACCGTCGAGTACTCTCTTTCCACCACAGTTTCACGTTCTTGCCAACGGATCTTCTTCAGTTATCCCTTTGAATTCTTCTCCTGATCATCACCATGTCGAAGACCCTCCACAGTCATGGAGCCAGTTACTTTTGTAAATCTCTCTCTCTCTCTCTCTCTCTCTCCCCTACAGACACACACATAGTTTAACATTAAAAAAAAAAAAATTTAGTATGCATAATAGCTTTTCAAATGGTGTTTTCGTGATAAAGAATGATCTCTGTTCTCTTCAGAGAAGTATATGTTTATAATGATTTTATTCACTTACAGTGTTTTGAGGATTTTGTTTTTTTGTTTTTTTATTCTTCTTTGATCGCCATATACAAAGGATGAATGTTTTAAGTTTATTACAACTTATGTAAACAGCTGAAAAAATTAGCCGAGAAAAAAAAAAGTAACTGTGAATGAACTTTGCTCATTTCATACTCACATATAAGTATATGTGCGTTTGTGTGTCTAAAGATTGATCTTGTGCAAGTGTGTAATAATCTTCTGGTAGTCTTTCTGGTTTTATATCTCTAATAAATTCTGGATGAAATATGTTCTTCAGGAGTGGCAATTATACTGGTTTGTCAGGAGATCAGGAAGATAAGTTGTTCGGTCAAAATCATTTTCAACCCAAGAAGATGGAGGATTGGGAAGACCAAATGATGTCGAATAATACTACGGTTAATCCACCGCCCAGGCTAATTCCTCTTCATAATATTGCTGATGATCATGTAAAGGCCGTGAACTCCCAAAAAAGAAATAACTTGTACGGCCAAGCAGATCATGAAGAAATTATATTGCAGCAGGCAAATAATATAAGGTCTTTTATTAATTGTGGTTGGTCACAAATTGTGCCTGCAGTGTCTTCATCACCTAGGTCTTGTGTCACTAGTAGTGTAGGTAGTACTACTAATAATAATATGTTGGACTTCTCTTACAACAAGAGCCAAACTACAGGTCATCACTCCGCCAGCTCAGAGGTATACATATCAAGATAAACAAACTTTTATATTTTTTTTTGTTCTTTTTTTTGGTCTCTCCTTTTTTCCCTTGAGGAAAAATCATTAACCCTTTTTTGAGTGATTATGTCTCTCAATGCTAAATATGTTTTTCGGATTCCGGGTTTATGCATGAGTCTAATTTCCAAAAAGTAATTATGTCTTTATAATATTATATATGTCTGTTTTTTTGCTTTGATTTGTAGTGTAATAGCACAGTCACCGGTGGAGCAGTGTGTAAGAAGGCTAGGGTTCAGTCCTCCTCAAGCCAACCACCTCTTAAGGTATAAAAGATAAACTCTCTGATCTTTTTTCTTTTTTTTTTCTCGTGAGAGATATATACAAGTGAACATATATATTTATATAAAATTAGGTGAGAAAGGAGAAGCTAGGTGATAGAATTACGGCTCTTCACCAACTGGTTTCCCCATTTGGGAAGGTAAAATACTAACCAAAAATAACTCTCTCTATATAATAATTTTTTACTGATCACACCTTCGACCATGCATATTTTACCTTTTTTTTTTGAACTTTCAACAAATGTAAAACGATCAGAGCTTTCCTTCCTCTTCCTTTTTTTCCCCCCTTCTTCTTTTTAAGTTTGCTACTCCGATCAAAGCTTGATCTTTTCCAGTTTACATCTTTTTCTTTTTTCATCCTGGATTCTCTGTTGACATAAAAAAGGAAACGAGAAAGATGACTTGGGTTTTTGTGGTGTGTGTGTTTGCGTTTCTCTTTTTGCAGACTGACACTGCTTCTGTCTTGTTAGAAGCCATTGGGTATATCAGATTCCTTCAGAGTCAAATTGAGGTGATGTTTCTACTTTCTTCCCAACTTCCTTATATATAATACGCTCTCTGCAAACAACACATAATATATAATCAGTTACATATGTGTATGTGTGTATGTGTGTGTGTATATATATATATATATATATATATATCAGTAGTACTGAAAGAAAGCATGCAGTTAAAGTTTCAATAACTCATGCTTTTTTAATAAACATTCTTTAGTTATGGTAGTCATGATAAACATCTTTATTCTCTTTTTTTGCTGAGTTTCCCACCCTTCGATGCAGGCTCTGAGCTCCCCTTACTTGGGCCATGCATCAAAAAACATAAGGAATCAACCATTTGTAAGTACAAATTTTTATACCCATTTCCCAAAGCATATATATGTGTGTGTGTGTGTATGAAACCAAATTATAATTCTCAACTATCTTTCTATCCGTCTCTCTCACACACACACTGATAGAGAAGGCATGTGTTTGAGAAAAGCCAGCTTGTTTATATCAACTTGGAAACTATATAATTGATGAGAGAGAAAGGGAATTGGTCTGGTTCAAGGAGAAAGGAAATCAATTGTGTGTTTCCTGAAGACCATGGTCAGGACTGCTTTATTGGATCCATCACCCCACTAAAAGCAAGTAGGGAATGCTTTGTATGTAAAAAAAGCATTAACATTTCTAGACCCAAAAAAAAAAAAAAGGAAAGCATCTTATGAACTATTTAATTATTTCGTAAAGAAAACAAGCTTCTCAGCTTTACAAACTTTAGCATTGTAATTATTTTTAAGTTAATACTCTAACTAGCAATGCAACAAGGCCAAAAAGGACATATATACATACATATATATATATATATATATATATATAAACTACGGATGCTTTTTTCTTTTCCTTTTCTTCCCTTGAACTATTCAGTGACAACTGCTTGCTGAAAAGAAAAGCCGTGTTCTTAATTAATATGATTTTTCCTCTTTTCTAGACAAAGGTGTTGAAATAAAATTGATTAGTTTACAAAACCTTCATTATTTGACTAACTGTTCGTCTATGCTGCATATTTATTATATCTTAAATATACCATCACTGTCATTATGATAATTATCATCATAACTGTTGCCCTAGTTTATCATACATATTAATTATCAATTAATGATTTGTGGCATTCTTATTTGGACCACGTGATAATTAATTAGGACATGGAGGGGCAAGAAAAACTAAAAGACCTAAGAAGTAAAGGACTGTGCTTGGTTCCTGTATCTTGCACTCAGCACGTTGGAAGTGATAATGGAGCTGATTATTGGGCTCCGGCTAATTACGGCAGTGGGTTCTGACTTCGATCGGTAGCTTAATTAAAAGAATTATGATGTTAATTTATGGATTAATCGAGCTTTTGTAAAAGTGATATAACATCATGAGCACTCACTCTGATATAATCCAAGACTGATTGCTCATGATGCTATTGCCTTTTTATTTTAAATTAAATTATTAGATATATATATATATATATATATAAATATGTATCCATCGGTCGATCGATCTAATTAAGTAGTGCTTAATTAACTGTTCTTGATTAGTACGTAGTACTCTTTTAACATAAAGATGACATTTAATAGTCTTCTTCTTGCTTTAATTTCTTTTTGGTAGGAAGAGTAAGCCATATTGTCTATGCTCGTTTTTCATTAGCGCCTGTTTGCAGCTTTAAAAGCTCATGCTTATTGTTATACATACGTACATATATATATATATATATATGTGAATCATATTATCAGAATATTATATATTTAGCCAAAAAAAAGAAAAAAAAAGAAAAAAAAAGAAGAGTGTCTCTCTGTTGTAATAAAGAGATTCGACAAATTTCCCACACAATACATATATATATATAAATATTTATATTTTTTGTTTTAGGAAATATTGTGTTTTAACACTATATACATACATACATATATATATATATATGCATATATAAGCAAAATAAAAAAATACGACCTAAACCAAACAAAAGAGGTCGTAATAATATAATTAGCATATGAGAAAACTATAATCGTCGGTCACATATATCAAGTGGCCTAAGGTATGCTTAACTAAATTTTGTAAAGGCATACATAATTAATGAAAGTAAAGCTAATTAACATAAACATTAATGAAAAAGTACATAATAGTTCACGTAAAGCACTAGGTTTTCACATATGTATATATAGGAACACAAGATATCAGGGTCTGCGCTCTCAGATCAGCAGAAACGGCCAAAATTTTTACATGAATGAATGAATATCTCCATATAATTTACAATATGAAACATTTTGCGCGTTCAATTGTATAATTGTTCTTTATTTTACGAATAACATAATTTGTTGCCCCCAATAGCAAGTTTGATGAAAGCTCGATCGTTTATATATATACCAAAAAAAGGTTATAAAACTGTATAAATTGATAGAATTAGCTGAGTATAGTTGATAGTACTTTTGAACATACAATCAAATTAATTTTGTCGTATAAATGCTAAAATCTGAAAAATCCTTTTCTTTCCTCCAATATATTCCGCTGTTACATAATAATCTGTATCCATAAACAGCCGTACGTACTTGGTCAAAAACAGTTTGCAAAGTTTCAGATCATAAACGAGCAATAAGAATATGGTCCAAAGTCAGAAATTCTAACGGCAAAGGAATTCCAAAATAGAATGAGCAAATTAGTATTGATGCGAGTCATAATATTGTACACACAGTCGGGCTTAATTAGCAAATGCCTCTGGATCTGAATCGGTCTGATCAGATAATCGAATATTGCAATAACAATAAGAAGAGTACTACTAAAAGGACCCCACTCTTTTGTGTCTTTTCTTGATCTATCAGTACTTTTGGAGATTACACTTCCCACCCACTAATGACTTTGTCCCACACGCTCTTCAGGCGATATCATGACGCTATATATTGCATCACAATTGATCATTCACAAGCATATAGTAACACCAATATAAAAAACACAAAAAAAGAAGAAGAAAGAAACAGGTTTATAGTTCGAAGTTAGATCAATAAAAAGGATTTTGATTAATTAGTTTCGCAAGTTTTGTCTTATGTATTAGAAATGGAAATATATATATATATATATATTATGCGATATAAGCAATACTATAATGATCAGCTCTAGCTAGTCTTTTTTTTCATATAATTAAGCAAAGATTTATTAAAAAGAAAAGAAAAGGAAAACAAAAAAAGTCTTACAAGAGCTCTAGCTAGAGTAACACGATTAATTAATTTGATTATATCCATGTAATGACATATGAGAATAATATTGCTGTTGAGATGTCCATTTCTTCTGAAAAGAAAGAAACACGAACATGTCAATTTCTTCCTTATTAGAATTCCATGATATAATCTTGTAGAATCTGAAATTAACAATTTTTTTTTTTTATTTCCTTTGCTGTGTTTACTCTTATATTGATGGTTCTCATATCGGAATTCAACTTAATTTTGATTACGAATTAGTTCTTTTCGATGTGGAAGTTACAGAATATAATAATTAATCACTTATGTATAAGATGCTTTATCTCGGTCATTAGCAAATAAAAATAATGAAATATTATCTGTTTCTATATAATTAACGCTTGAGTGCTAATATTGTATGTTGTTAATTTTTGTTATTACTTCCAAATTAAAAAGAGAACCATGTAGCTTAATAACATATATATATATATATATTTAACATGCTATACATAATTAATGAGTTTAATTAATTAATTGGTAGGAGAGGTAGGCCAACGGTATTGATTAATGTATTAGTATTCTAAAAAAGCACTTCACCATTCAACATTTTGGCAACACATGAGCTGTGGAATCTTCAAGCTTTAACATTAATGCTTGTCATTGCTTCATATATACCTGAAGAGTAGTACCTCGTGGATTTATTCATAAAATGTGGAGTTCTCGAAATAAAACACTTTGTTACAAGAAGCATGCGAATAATTAATCCATATAAGGACAAAAAATGAAGAAATGCATGAATACAAACAAGCACAAAAATATACCACGCTCGTGCTTGCAAACCTGCAGGAAGAGTTATTTTCATGCTCCACTTGATATTCCATTGGTTTTGACTAATTAAAGCTGAGGAACTTTCCATGACTACTCGAGATCATTATTGGACAATAGCCAAATAAATTTTTTTTTTTCCCTTTTCATATATTACAATAACGTTTTCTCCACAGCCATTTACACAAAGGCTAATAATATATATGTGTATATATATATATTGCATAAAAATATGTATGTATATATGTATTAGCTTGCACTATATGATGTGGAAATGGTTCATGATGCGAATGTTGCCAAAAGATGGACCCCATTTTGCTGTCTTTTTTGGATCACTTTAGAGATTGCACTTGAGTGATGGAGCACGCTTCTCAATGTTTCAGGTGGGTGTATACGCCATTCGTATAAAATGGGTAGCTATGTGCTATCGTAGTGGTGACATTTATTGCGCAACACATCAGGATCAGCAGAAAGAATGTCCGTGTTAATTTGGTGTGTTTTTCATTTTTCCTATGTTTATGTGACATTGATCATGTAAATTATAAAGTGGTCATTCTTGCCAAAATTTGAGATGTTTCCAGTAATTTTACAGTTTTACTTTTAGCAAAATAAATAAATAAATAAATAAAAATAAAAGCACATCAAGAGGTGGTGGCCGGTGTCGTCAATTGTATAATGCTACAAAATTAATATATATAGTGGCCGTCAAAATATGGTGGCCGCCGGCTGGTGGTATCAATTGTATAGTGCTATAAAGTTAAGTTTTAATAGTTACTTTAATATTTACTCATCAATATGTATTATTTTTTTGTCATAAGATATTAATTCGATAGTTATTATTATTGAACAGTTAATTACAAAAATAATGATAATTAACGAAATTAGCTTTTTATCACACGTCATTAAATTTTTATATTTATAGGCGACCACAGATGAAAACGTAATAATTAAAAACCCGTATATATATATACACGTTTTTATTAGCCATTTGACTTTATTTATATTTATTTTATATTGAAATCTCTAAAACTACCATCAAAAGATTTATATTTATTTTTATATTTTTCTCAAAACTACCATCAAAAGATTTTATGTTTTGTTAGGTATTTTTATTAGTTGACAATTTATTGGCAATCTTGTAAAAATTCAAAAAATAGGTTCAAGAAGATTTCAGATTGCGGAAGAAGAATTCGAATCAGATTTGAAGTTAAAGTTGCAGATTTTATTGAGTTGAGATTTGAAGAGATAAGGATAAAGGCTTGGTCAAAGGAAGATAAGATATTGGTTGAGATTTAGAGAGATAAAGATAAGGCATTGGTTATTTAAATTTAAATGGGATTCTAGAAAGAGATAATGTGGAGATTAAGTTGCTATTTTAAAGGAGTGATTCGGATTTGAAAAGGAGATGTATTATCCGAATGTGCATTGGTTTGTTTCAATTGGGTCTCTACGAGATATACTTCAAAGGCATCATCTTTAAATATATATATATATATATATATATATATATATTGCTACTTGAATTTACGCGAGGTGATTAATATGGAGCCAAGGTGATAACTAAGCCATTGTGAAGATTTTGTGCACGTGGAGATAATGAAGCAAATTTGTTTGTGTAGATAAGATAGTGTGCATATTACTTGGAGAAGATCGTGGAGAGAATTTGAATAAGCTATCTAGTTGGATTAGGATATTTGTTATGGGGTATGTGATTAACGTGAAAGAAGTAAAGTTTTAGAAGGTCTATAATTGAATAAGCTTTAGGTTGCTCAGGCGGTAGAGAGGTTTTATAGAATATTTTCAGAAAAGAGTCTGTGAGTTTTTTGTGAGCCTTGTGCGTTATTGAGATCATCCTTCGGGAGAGGGATTTGTTACTTTCGGGAGGAAGCTGTGTTGGTCGAAGGGAGTTCACCGTGCAGTTTAGAAGGCGTGTGGTGCACGCTAAACAGAGTTATTGTGCGATTTCATCACAGCGGCATCATAGTCTAGGAGGGAGTCCTTAAGTGAATAAGTCCGTCAGTGTTGTAATTCTTGAAGTATAGTGAAACTGTTTATTGTCTGGGCGTGGCCCCGTAGAGTAGGTGTGCACACCGAACTGCGATACCATATTGCGTGTCTATTTTGATTTCTACACTTTATTCTACTCGAACAATTTGAACAGTAAGAAATTCAGATCTTAATTAATTAAGTTATCTTCCAGACAATGTTTCAACATCATTTGGAACATAAGACATAACATCAGATCTAATAAGTGGTAAGCGGTTCACTGACCATAAGTTCGGTGAGATCTTGGAGAATTAATATGTTATGTTTGGAATGAATTTTTTGAAGGAAGGAGGTTCATTTGTACGTCCCCCTCTGCTCGATGGTTCGAATTATTCATATTGGAAGGCTCGGATGAA